ATAACTTATTGATATTTATCAATATTTGCGTAATTATATTTGGTCCATGTGTTATATTATATTCTATGCTTTAAAATTATTTATATATCTAAACGTAGTTTCATTTCGCACTAAAATCGTCCTTTCACCTTTCAAAAATTACTGTAACTGTCTAAGATACTGTGTAGTTCAAAAGAAGAGGACTGGGGTACAAAGTAACACGTAATAAGTCTATTACTCGGATTCTTATCCGAAATTATCGCAAGAAACATATCAGCGTATTTTCGGTGTAACCTCGTTCTATCGTTAGAAAGAATTTGTTGTGTTTTAGAGAACTTGCGTAACTTGCGTAGAAAGATATTTAACAACCGTAGTCGTAATATCAGCTGTTACTCGATATTTCTGTAATGTTTGTGTCTTAGAGTGCCTCGAATTAAAACAATTCTATTACGATAGTATTAAACGCACTTACGATTAGTGGATTTCGCATAAATGTTAGCTACTCTGAAAGAGAAGCAGAAGAATCTACCGACCGGAAGTATTGATTTATCAAGCTACCGATGTTCACGTAGTGCAACACCTTGTTATGCTACGACATTCTAGTAGCAATGTTTTTTACTTATTTCACATTTGGTTTTCCTGATAGGCGCACGATCAGCTCGTAATAGAACTTCTTCCTTTTTCGAGCCGTAACATTCTCTAATTCGTTGTCCTCTATTTTCTTTATCGTCTCCATTCTTTTTTGCATTCTTCCCCCAATGCCTCTTTTCTTTTTTTTTTTTTTTTTTGATCGTTTTCTCGATCGTCGGCAACACCAACGGAAGACCTACATTGGAAACCATCAACGAATCCAAGAAGAAGATTGGGTGGAAAGAAAAGTGGTCCATCGTGATGGTCGTGCGGTGAAATTCAGAGTGGAAACTGGTAATATAAAGAGATAGTCGTTCGAGCAGATAGGAATGGGTTTCGGGGGAAAGGAATAAACCTTATACGACTGTCACGATCGATCACGTAGTTCGTTTTCCACGTGCAGACGTTTTCGCCACTTCCATCATCGGAATGTACACTCCATACTCGTTAGTGTTTACAATTTTATAAATTCCTCCGATATTTCGCTGCATGCGAATCTTGCGGAGAAACAGTAAATCTATATACGATTGGATTATATCTATACACGTAAGAAATAGTCAGAAGACAAAACACGATTAAAAACAAGGTCATATTGGATATATGTTTATATGAACTTTTTCTGTTATTTTTATATCCTTAGTACACCCCTGTTTTACTTTGCTCGTGCAAAGAGATAACGTATGTTATTCATAACAATATAACGATGCTGGAAAAAAATTGAAGTTATTTTATTCGTATAGTATAGCAAGTATAAAAATCTAGTTTCACGTTTGTATCATAGCCATATTATTGTTCTGGATCTCTTACGGATTTGTAAGAACGAAATATCAACGGGAAGGTGGGTCTAAAATTGACAGATATTCCCTTGGACGTAGTTAAAGGAATTGCTGCAATTACGTGCTAAAGCTTCACTATTAACGAGTACCCTGATAGCTGGAAATTAGAGCGGATAATGCAATTTAGTCACGTAGGCTGGCAGATATCCATGAAAAATTGTCGATTTCATGGCTAACCTTAGACAGATGTCTATTCCATTTTCCAACAGCATGACGTAAAAAGTGAGAGAATTACGATTTAATAGATCTTGCCCGATTTGTCGATATGAACGAGGGTCGAATTACGTACTACTGTCATTGATATTGCTTAATATCTCTATCATTCGTTTGTTTTCTAACAACAATACTTTTTAACAAAAGATAGATTTGCATTTACAATAATTGAAGCTATAATTAATTGTTTGAACTGGATATATTTAATAGGTTTAGGCCATAACAAATAAAATTTCATCATAATTGTATAATTATAGTTGCTATATTTTTGAAATGCGTGATTTTGTCAAATATATACATAACAAAACACTTTGCTTTAAAATAGCTCAAATATTTAACACGTATTATTCCTTGGAGAAAATAGATTTCAAAATAGTTGATAAAATATTTCTACACGTTTTCTTGACACTGGTTATTCGTAAAAGTAACGTAGACATTGTAAGCAGGAACAATACGTACACACGTGAATGCACGGACACGCAGCGGGTTTTCAAAATCGATTTTCTCGGAAACTAAACTTCGGATGGGAAAATTCTATTCCATACGTTTGATTTATTTTTGTACCAGGTATTATCTTTTTCTCGCTTGTAGTACTTTCACATCCACCGTACTGCCCTATTTTAAAGACAAACAGTGAAAGGACCTCGATTAATGAATATATATCATATCTTTCAGTAAAAATAAACGAGTGAGAAAAAAACGGGTAAGCCAGTTAATTTCGTACTCAGTGTTAGAATTGTGTCAGAAAAGGTTAATTCCAAATAACGTTCGGAATCACCATGTTCGTGTACACCATTATACCAAAACACGTTGCAATAGCTTGATTACTAGGAATATATACTCTTTTACATAAAAAAATAAATAAAAAGATATATACAATTGACGACACAATAGACAGAAAACAAACAGAGTATGATTGATTATTGGATGGAATTTATTGGAACGTCGAACTTGTGATAAAATCAATGTTCGCACATTTCAAGCCCGCTCCGTATCGGTATGTATGAATGCTTGAAAAATGTTACATTCCGCCTGTTTATACTGCATAATCTTTACGTGACGCGCATACAAATACCAAGCCTCTGACAGAACATTTAAATAAGCGATTGATAGACATTTTCTGGACGAGGCGATGCAGAAACATCTTGCTTGTCATGTGTCATTTACATACATTTCAACACTTCCACATTGTTGCAAATATATAGAATACACATCGAACAAACGATGCAGACATATTCTTCGTTATAATTTAAATTTAACAACATTTGATCTCAGCTATGACAAGAAGTGGGAAATTAACAGTAGAGAAATTTCTTTTATTATAAGTTTGAAAATATATATGTTTTTTATATCATCAATAAAAATATATTTCTTTTAATGGATCGCAATTATTCAAATACATATGGACGAGAGTGTATTTGTAGCTGGGAGCTCTTTCGATAGAATATTCACGAACGGTTTATATTTCTCTCTTGGTTAGGTATTCTTCTTGTCTCCATTTTTTATAGAATTCTTGAAAACCCGTGGTAATACCTAGACTTGAAACTACATGGAATTCTTTTCTTTCGATATGCGCCTCCTCCATGTTCAAAGATGTTGAATATTCTGGATTATCATAAGCTTGCATCTCGTGTAGTAATTCCGCAATAAATTGAAATTATTACGATTTTTAGGAAAACGAGAAATCACGGCGTATATCATTATAAAAAGTTCGCTATATTTTTTCAAATCATAAAAACATATCTTGGCAAAGAATGAAGTTACTACTTGATTAATTATGAAACTAGTAGAATAATATCTATAGGAGTTGCAATACGCGATTAAATTCAAATTCTCAAATCGGTATAGCGATGAAAATGAAATAAAATTTGAAGAATTTTTAATTCTACCGTAAAAACAAAACATCTTGATGATACAACGCTATTGGCTATTTTCTACTGCTTAGTTGGTCTTGATGATTGTTCAATTGCACGCCCCAGATTCACTCGCACGATTTTCATATTGCCCCGATGAATTCTCTAAAAGATAGAGTATCTGTTCTATACTTCCACTTTTCGAACCGTCCAGCATTTGACCAGAATCGAGAATAAGAGGATATACCTACAAAGTGCACAGAACACAAGGTCCTCTATTCCAAGTGATCTCGAAGATCTTCGTTCTAGTGGTACTTTTACGAGCGCTCTGGCCCCGACTTTATCGTTTGGACACATGTGCATTGTACATAAACCGTGTTCAATGAATATAGACAAGGAGCGAGTATTCGAGTTTCTATGGGTCGAAATCTCGTTAGTTCTTGTCCCCGAGCAATTAGTTATTACACGTTTTGCATATTTCCTTGTATATGCACGAAAATTAAACGAATGTTATCTGTAATTACTTATAAATCGTTGACATCATTCTTAGCAAGGTATTCGCTTTAATACGTTTGAAATACATATATTCTGATAATAGAGGAAAGTAATACTTACATCGTACGTGTTATTATTCTACTTTGCGCGACTATAAGCTGGAATTTTCAACTGTTTGCTATGACTGGGATGATTTTTATCCAGGTGATTATTTTCAAAATGAATTGCAAATTAATTTTGTGAGATTAACTTAAAGGTACAAAGTCAAGAATGTAGTATATAATCGTGAATTATTATGACTACGCTGGTATTGTTAGAAAAACAGCGAATTGTAATTTAAAAATTGTATTTTTCACACTCAGAAAACCAACACACCACAAAATATGTTACTTACATTTACACCCCACGAGCAAACAATTCTTACCACGTTCCCCCGCTTGTCGTCCACAAAGTATGGTAAATTTACAATTATCCTACTTAAAATAGTATTTCTCGCATGCTAGTTAATCCGAGGATAACTACTCTTATCATCCTAGTTTATGTTTCTCTATTCTTTACAAGTGAAAGAAATCACCTCGTTTAAAGCTGACTAATCTAGATTGTTATACAGATTGATTTAGGATAACTTCTACCTTCTCTCACAGACTATATAAACATCGCAAATGTTGTATACTTGATAGAAGATACTTCTAACAAATTAGATTTCATGATAACTAGAGAAACAAAACCCAAACAGAAAATTTGACCCTTCCAATATTTTAATGAGTGTTACACGATACTTTTGATATTTTTTATAATTTTGCGTGTTGTATGCATTCTGTCTATTTTTTTATATTTAATTATTAAATAAATGTGTAAACACGTTCATATCCCGATCATAACAATCCCTTATTTTACTTACTTCGTTATTAACGCTACTCTTATTAACACCATGTTAACAATAGTTACGTTTTCATGCAAAACTAACAAACATGCTTCTCTTTATTGATTTCAGGTTCTAACAAGGCAAAATCAACGCAAAGCCAAACTAATTACCCATAATTAACCAGTGTGCCCATTATGACAACTCTGAAGATTCCTCCGCATCGTCTTAAATCGTAAAAGGATCGGGAAAATAGCATTCTCCGTGAAAAGGGAAACATCGTGAACTATCATCGAAATTAACGCATGTGTATCTAATCCATTAACACATCGTGGGTTCCGGATACCTGATCGACAAAACTAATATCCGAGGGGTTAATTTAAACACTCCATCTCTGAAGAGAGGGAACAACGTGGTTGTACGCGAGAAAGGGTGAGCACGTAACTATGTCGAAAAATTCCATTTTCTCCGTGTCCCAATTTCTCAGGGAGTGATTCTGTTCATAATGAAAATTAAAAGTGGACCGGTTTACCTTTTACCGAGACAGTTACATACGAGCCAGCTGAAATCTCGTACCTATTTCTAAATCAATTTATCCTCTTTTCATTTACGATTAAAGTGTATTTGCTTAACGTACATCGGGCTCTGAAATTTTATTAATTAATACTTGACGAACCACTGCTCGGATCGAAATGATAATTAAAATTTAAAGGACTTAAACAAGGACTGTACAGAGCTTATGGTAGAAAATATATGAGTTTATTAACTTCATCGAATGCGAACTCGAATGCATCTTTTCGATTTTACTATATTAACAATGAAATATACAGATATTAAGCTTGATTTCGATTATTCAAGTAATTTCGGACCAAGTGTGCATTCACAGAAATCAAGTTATTCGATTTAAATTCGAATGGGCAAAGATTCGATTTATGTGAAATAATAAGTTCACGCAGACAAAGTATCTCCAAGTTGTTTGACCCCGGGTAACTTGATTAATTAGTTCGTTGTCTAGGTTATTCAGACGATGACTGTCCGAGTATGGAACGCCTCACTGTATTCAATTAATTATACAAATGTGAGAAATAATCTTGTACAATAAAGATTCATAACACAGAACAGTTGTAATTACTATCGTAAGCTAAGTGCATTCACATTAAATTACAATAGCTTGTCGTTGAAAGAAGAGAAGTGCACGTTAACGGAGATGCACGTAGGTTATTAGAATCCGATGAAAACAAAAATTGAATAGGAAGAGCTTGTTTTGAAGCAAGCTGATGGAAACTCGATTTGCCCAGCGAACTCGACGGCTGTAGAAAAGATATGCGTAGAAAGAGCCGTTTTAAATCGCAATCTTCGTAAATTCTCTACTATTCCTCACGAATTCCGAGATCGCGAATGTATCCGGCTGGAAAATGCGTTACTGCCAGCTGTAAAGTATGCTGGGAAAGTAAGAAAAATCGCTGACATCGATCGATTTCAAATGCATAGCAGTAGCTAATACCGACATGCCATAGGGAAAGATCAGCTGCAAAGTTCTATTCATACAACATTAAAGTACGATCTAGCAATGGAAGACATGTCACGATATAGAATGAGACGATTCGCGGTAATCTTTGCATTCGTTAGAAATATGTATGGGTAATGCAGTGATTTCTTTAAATCGAATAACTCATTTTTCGTATGAGAGACCGTTTATAATATTTTTAAGTGTTATCGATGTTCTGATAATCGCTTTACTTTCATTTCCAAGTAGCAAAGTTTCATGTAAATTGGAGAATACTCAAAGATAATCGAAGATGGAGAAACAAAGAAAGAACGAGAACAAATTTATTACAGGATTCGAAGAAGCCTGCGAGTACGGCGTCAGGAGATCGCGGGGCCCTCCTCTGAAA